ATATAGTATCAAAGCACAATTCCCTCCTACAACTAACAGTCATAAATCACATTCTCCAATTAGTTTGAAATGCTGGCTTTCCACCCAATTCTTCATCCCACCATGCCTTATCATCATTTATTACAAACAACCTTGGTTCTCACTATTATACAGTATTGTTTTGTCTAATCTCCCATGCACATTCCACCTCCCCCCCCCCAGTATCATCTAATTCTAACTCTAAAAGTAAAATTTAAAGTGAAGGAAAATGGATGAGTCTCCATATGTTGTCAAAGCAAGAACATCGATGTTAGCTGTGTTGACACGGAGTTTATTTCCAGTTTCCAGCAAAAAACATCCATTGAGGACAATGGGCTCACTTAATGACCGCCATAAAAAGTCACAAAATCAAATCAGTCATCTGCTTAATGAACGGCATGACTTACAACAATAATCCCAGGCTCATTTATGCTCATAAGCCGAGGACTATGTGAAGTGGCATTTGAACGGTTTGTATGGTCTTTTGTCTCTGATGTTTTCATACAATTAAGCAGCCTTTATTCTCCAACAGGAGAAAGAAAGAAAGAAGGAAAGAAAGATGAAGCGGTGTCTTCATCCTTCCAGGATGTTGGAACTCTGCCTGAAAATTCTGGGGGGGGTTGGTTAAGATTCCTCAAAGCCCTGATGCATTTGGAAATGCCCAGGTTGTAGAAATCAGAAACAGACGATTTCAAATTCCTGAAGATCAATGGCATCACTCGTCTTTGTTCCATTCAGGTTACAGCAAAGATTGAGGATCTCAAGAGGAGAAACACTTTAAAAACAACAGCCATGTAATTGCTTAATCAGTTCAGCTCTTCTGATTAAAATATCTCATTAGTTGGCAGTCTGAATAAAAAAGGAACTCGGCTCCCAGGCGTGGGAGGGCAGCCAAGTGTGCTGGGGGGGGGGGAGGGGCTTGGCTGGAATACTCCAGCTTTGATACAGATGCATTAACAAACTGAAGGAGCAGGATGGTCTGGCCATTCTGAGCCCTGCGTGGGAAGGATTGTGTTTGGAGCTGTTTCAGAACAGATATTATTGGCTAAAAGCCCTCAGTCCTTCAGCTTTGAGGAAAAACTTGTAGGAATTTCTGGGCTTTTCCAACTGGTAGCAAGGGCAAAGCTGGGGGTCCTGGGGACCGGCTTCTCCACCAGAGGCTAATTCCTTCTGACAAAATGTGCTGCTGCGCCTTCAAAGCTCGAAATGGTTGCGATGCACAGCAGTCACCTTGTGTGGTGGAATGTAGTCTGGATTCCCAGGAGGACAAAGAGGCAGCGGAGCTTGGACAGTTTGGTCGGCAGGAAGAGGGCTGAACCTAGCAGTTCCCAGAGTGTATCTATAGCTATGCAAATAGTTGCTTTAGTCTGGCAAGAGTCTGTCTGTAGGTGAAGAATAATCAAAGAAGCCAAGGTAACCCCACTTGTCGTTCTTGGGACCTGACACCTTCTTGCTATGATGGGAATTAAGAAGCAGGCCCCCTGGTTGAGGACCCAAATTGTTGGGGTCAATATGCTGACTCTGTAAACCGCTTAGAGAGGGCTATAAAGCACTGTGAAGAGGTATATAAGTCTAAGTGCTATTGCTCCTTCACTCTGATCTCCAGTGCATCACTTCCAACTGAGGGGAATCTGTTCCTATGCTGTTTAGTTGGCATTTGTGCTTTCTAACTGAAGGAAGCTATTCAGAGTAATCATCCGTGCCAAGCAAATAAGAATCACATTGCTGCAATATAATGGGGGGGGGGGGAGTGCAATTCCCTTCAATAGTATTATCCCAGCCAATAGGCATCTTGCAGTTTAGGTATTTAATTTTTGTTTATTGCTAGTCTTCTCCACTCTGCTAACTTTGGATTCAGGGTCCAGTAAATTCTGATAGGATTTCTATAAAGCAAGGGAGCTGCTATAGGGCTGTTATAGTTATTAGTACATCATTCTAACATGAAAATGTGTAATATAAAAGATATGGTGATGGATAACCACAGGCTTTCCTTCTTCCTTTTCTTCCTTTTTACAGGCTTCACATAACTCTTTGGTTTCATTTTTCAATAAAAAGTGATAGGAAGTCTATTGTTTGCCACCCAATCTAAGCAGCACAAGTTTAGGGTTCTGTGGAGGCTGCAGAAAAGAGACTGCAGGTTACCCATCCCTCTTATAAAGCAATGCCTGCAATAAATTATTGGGTAGTTAAAGCCACAAGTTGTGTTTTCTCCATCATTACTGTTTATCTTGCTTTTTAACCATTCCCAAGCTTTGTTTATGGGTATTACTAACTGTTAACTATATCTCTGTCTGTCTATCATCTATCTGTCTGTATGTCTATCTATCTATCTATCTGTCTCTCTCTCTCTCTCTCTCTCTCTCTCTCTCTCTCTCTCTCTCTCTCTCTCTCTCTCTCTCTCTCTCTCTCTNATATAGTATCAAAGCACAATTCCCTCCTACAACTAACAGTCATAAATCACATTCTCCAATTAGTTTGAAATGCTGGCTTTCCACCCAATTCTTCATCCCACCATGCCTTATCATCATTTATTACAAACAACCTTGGTTCTCACTATTATACAGTATTGTTTTGTCTAATCTCCCATGCACATTCCACCTCCCCCCCCCCCAGTATCATCTAATTCTAACTCTAAAAGTAAAATTTAAAGTGAAGGAAAATGGATGAGTCTCCATATGTTGTCAAAGCAAGAACATCGATGTTAGCTGTGTTGACACGGAGTTTATTTCCAGTTTCCAGCAAAAAAACATCCATTGAGGACAATGGGCTCACTTAATGACCGCCATAAAAAGTCACAAAATCAAATCAGTCATCTGCTTAATGAACGGCATGACTTACAACAATAATCCCAGGCTCATTTATGCTCATAAGCCGAGGACTATGTGAAGTGGCATTTGAACGGTTTGTATGGTCTTTTGTCTCTGATGTTTTCATACAATTAAGCAGCCTTTATTCTCCAACAGGAGAAAGAAAGAAAGAAGGAAAGAAAGATGAAGCGGTGTCTTCATCCTTCCAGGATGTTGGAACTCTGCCTGAAAATTCTGGGTGGGTTGGTTAAGATTCCTCAAAGCCCTGATGCGTTTGGAAATGCCCAGGTTGTAGAAATCAGAAACAGACGATTTCAAATTCCTGAAGATCAATGGCATCACTCTTCTTTGTTCCATTCAGGTTACAGCAAAGATTGAGGATCTCAAGAGGAGAAACACTTTAAAAACAACAGCCATGTAATTGCTTAATCAGTTCAGCTCTTCTGATTAAAATATCTCATTAGTTGGCAGTCTGAATAAAAAAGGAACTCGGCTCCCAGGCGTGGGAGGGCAGCCAAGTGTGCTGGGGGGGGGAGGGGCTTGGCTGGAATACTCCAGCTTTGATACAGATGCATTAACAAACTGAAGGAGCAGGATGGTCTGGCCATTCTGAGCCCTGCGTGGGAAGGATTGTGTTTGGAGCTGTTTCAGAACAGATATTATTGGCTAAAAGCCCTCAGTCCTTCAGCTTTGAGGAAAAACTTGTAGGAACTTCTGGGCTTTTCCAACTGGTAGCAATGCTAGGGCAAAGCTGGGGGTCCTGGGGACCGGCTTCTCCACCAGAGGCTAATTCCTTCTGACAAAAGGTGCTGCTGCGCCTTCAAAGCTCGAAATGGTTGCGATGCACAGCAGTCACCTTGTGTGGTGGAATGTAGTCTGGATTCTCCGGAGGACAAAGAGGCAGCAGAGCTTGGACAGTTTGGTTGGCAGGAAGAGGGCTGAACCTAGCAGTTCCCAGAGTGTATCTATAGCTATGCAAATAGTTGCTTTAGTCTGGCAAGAGTCTGTCTGTAGGTGAAGAACAATCAAAGAAGCCAAGGTAACCCCACTTGTCGTTCTTGGGACCTGACACCTTGCTATGATGGGAATTAAGAAGCAGGCCCCCTGGTTGAGGACCCAAATTGTTGGGGTCAATATGCTGATTCTGTAAACCACTTAGAGAGGGCTATAAAGCACTGTGAAGAGGTATATAAGTCTAAGTGTTATTGCTCCTTCACTCTGATCTCCAGTGCATCACTTCCAACTGAGGGGAATCTGTTCCTATGCTGTTTAGTTGGCATTTGTGCTTTCTAACTGAAGGAAGCTATTCAGAGTAATCATCCGTGCCAAGCAAATAAGAATCACATTGCTGCAATATAATGGGGGGGGGGGGCGAAGTGCAATTCCCTTCAATAGTATTATCCCAGCCAATAGGCATCTTGCAGTTTAGGTATTTAATTTTTGTTTATTGCTAGTCTTCTCCACTCCGCTAACTTTGGATTCAGGGTCCAGTAAATTCTGATAGGATTTCTATAAAGCAAGGGAGCTGCTATAGGGCTGTTATGTTTATTAGTACATCATTCTAACAAGAAAATGTGGAATATAAAAGATAGGGTGATGGATAACCACGGGCTTTCCTTCTTCCTTTTCTTCCTTTTTACAGGCTTCACATAATTCTTTGGTTTCATTTTTCAATAAAAAGTGATAGGAAGTCTATTGTTTGCCACCCAATCTAAGCAGCACAAGTTTAGGGTTCTGTGGAGGCTGCAGAAAAGAGGCTGCAGGTTACCCATCCCTCTTATAAAGCAATGCCTGCAATAAATTATTGGGTAGTTAAAGCCACAAGTTGTGTTTTCTCCATCATTACTGTTTATCTTGCTTTTTAACCATTCCCAAGCTTTGTTTATGGGTATTACTAACTGTTAACTATATCTCTGTCTGTCTATCATCTATCTGTCTGTATGTCTCTCTCTCTCTCTCTCTCTCTCTCTCTCTCTCTCTCTCTCTCTCTCTGTCTACCTGTCTTTCTCCATCTATCTATCTATCTATCTATCTATCTATCTATCTATCTATCTATCTATCTATCTATCATTCTCTCTCTACCTCTCTCTCTCTCTCTACCTGTCTCTATCTGTCTGTCTGTCTGTCTATCTATCATCTCTCTCTCTCTACCTGTCTCTCTCTCTCTCCCCGTCTCTCTCATCTATCTATCTATCTATCTATCCATCCATCTATCTATCTATCTATCTATCTATCTATCTATCTATCTATCTATCTATCTATCTATCTATCTATCTATCTATCTCTTTCTCTCTCTCTCTCTCCCTCTCTCTCCATACTCTCTCTCTCTCTCTCTCTCTCTCTCTCTCTCTCTCTCTCTCTCCCTGTCTCTATCTATCTATCTATCTATCTATCTATCTATCTATCTATCTATCTATCTATCTATCTATCTATCATCTACTCTAGATAGATTGGGTGCCACGAGAAATGATGGGTTTCAGCTCCCATAACCCTCAGCCTGCAGGGCACATAAAGTTATTGGGAGTGGAAGCTAAACACATATGAGAGGTTCAGGTTTGGGGACATTGTTTTACTGTGAAATCCTAACTGGTTCCTGTGCACGGCTGCCGACATCCTCCTGAACTTATTGGTGATCGTATTTCATCTTTCTTATTTGGGTTCCTGTCCACACATCTATCCTGCATTGCCATATTGGTTCCATTACTGCCAGCGTGAGCAAGCAGCAAGAAAGGACCGCTCCCACACTAACCTTGAGTTTTTAATCTCTCGATCACATTTAGGGGAGTTCCAGGAAAGAAATGTGGCACCATAGTGCTGTCTGCTGAAGAGCTCAGCAACTGTCGGGTGAGTGGCTTGTTCTCCCCATCATTTGGGGAAAAGGCGGGAACACCTTCCCTCATGCGTCAGTGGGTCAGGAGTAAAATGAGTGGGGCAGCCTCTCTAAGGCGAACTACCAATAAAGGAGAATAGTTATAGCTCAGGGTTGCAATGAGGGGTCCTTGGTGCTCTCTGAGCTTGGTTGTTTCCTTGCAGATGTTTCATTACCCAAACAAGGTAAGATCCTGACTACTAGCACTGATGATGTTATCTAGTCTCTGTAATGAAAAGTCTGCAAGAAAGCAACCAAGCTAGAGAGAAACCAAGGTGAACTCTTTTACACTGATGTCCAATTAGAACAGTGACAGTTCCAATATCTCAGGGGCTGCCACAAAGAAGAGGGAGTCAAGCTATTCTCCAAAGTACCTGAAGACAGGACAAAGAAGCAACGGATGGAAACTAATCAAGGAGAGAAGCAGCCTAGAACTAAGGAGAAACTTCCTGACAGTTAGAACAATTAACCAGTGGAACAACCTGCCTCCAGAAGCGGTGAACGCGCCAACACTGGAGGTTTTTAAGAAGAGACTGGACAGCCATTTGTCCAAAATGGTATAGGGTTTCCTGCCTGAGCAGGGGGTTGGACTAGATGACCTCCAAGGTCCCTTCCAACTTTATCATTATTATTATTATTAACCTTTGCCGAGTCTAGGGCCATACTTGACTTTTGAATGGCCTGCTGTGACTTGCTAAAAAAAAGAGTGGAGGAAGGTACTCAATCATAACTCTCACTATTCATGTAATCTATAGTATAGGTACCTAAAATAAGATTTTGGTGTTCTCTCTTCAAATCTCATAATATTTCAACATTCTTAGGCAAAATCTTTCAGGATTCCATGTGGGAACATTGAAATCTTCATGAGGCTTAGCATTTTTAAAGCATTTAAATTAAAGTTTGATTAACTGTGGGATCCCACAATGCCATTGGTTTACCACCTGTACAATGATGCAGAATAATAGAATAACAGAGTTGGAAGGGACCTTGGAGGTCTTCTAGTCAAACCCCCCTGCTCAAGCAGGAGACCTTATATCATTTCAGACAAATGGCTGTCCGGTCTCTTAAAAGCCTCCAGTGATGGAGCACCCACGACCTCTGGAGGCAAGCCGTTCCACTGGTTAATTGTTCTCACTGTTAGGAAATTTCTCTTTATTTCCAGGTTGCTTCTCTCCTTGATTTGTTTCCATCCATTGCTTCTTGTCCTGCTTTAAAGGTGCTTTGGAGAATAGGATGACCCCCTCTTCTTTGTGGCAACCCCAGAACAGCAAAAGCTTTGTTTAATATGCCCTGTATAGCTCAAATTACATTGCCACCTTTTGGCAGCAAGCCAAAACAGAGTCACAGAGATCAAATATGGGGACAAGTTAATTTTATGCCATTATAGTAAAGAATATACTTCTCTGCCCCCAGTTCTGCTTTGCTTCCTGCTGCTTCAACATGTGTCTGTGAGTGTGTGTGTGTGTGTGTGTGTGAGAGAGAGAGAGAGAGAGGGAGGGAGGGAGGGAGGGAAAAAAGAGAAAGAGAGGAAGAGAGAGAAAGAGGCATGGAGGAGTGAAGAACATGCTCTTCAAGTATGGAAGTATGAAAGAGCTCATCTGTGGATGAGAATATTCTCAAATTCATCCGTTCCTGACAAATTTCAGCCCTGAAACTCAGCCACTTGAACTACTTCTCTTAAAAGGGCCATTATGAAATTTTGCCAGGAGCAGTTTTCAATGGAAGTTGATTCTCAAAAGGTATAATAGCACAAAAAAACTGGACTGACTCTAAAAACAGGTCAGAGATGCTGGAAACCATCTGTAAGTTATTCATGTTCTTTGGGCAAAGAACATGAACAAATCATACATCAAGAACAGTTTTTTAGAAAAAGCAATCAAACCAGAAATGGCTCTTTTCTATTTATATAGAGTTTTGAGTGTCCGTCAGTAAAAAAAAAAAAAAAAAAAAGTTTGAAGCAGTGGGCCTTTTCTGTTTCTTATAAGTAGTTTTCCATTCCTAGCGCTGATTATTTTTTATGACCACCTTGCCTCCACTTCCCTTTCTGATGTAGCCTTTTCCTTCCAGGACATTGTCACCATGCAGTTGTGTGCCAACAAGCTGGACAAGAAGGATTTCTTTGGCAAATCGGATCCCTTCCTTGTTTTCTACCGCAGTAACGAGGACGGCACGTACGCAAGAGAACCCCTTTTCGAGGCAACCAACTTCCCAGGCCAGATTCTGGGCTGTTACTTAATGGCACGTAGTTGCCTTGATAGTGTCATTAGGCCCTGAATTGTACACACACACACACACACACACACACACACACACACACACACACACGTCTGCTCCCAAGAGACACTAGGCTTGCCTTTCTATTCTCTTCTACTCTCTTCTCTGGTCATTCTTTTTGCTAGCTAAAAGGAGATGGGAAGAATGGATGAATGTTGATTCTCAGATGTGACCTCAACCCACATCAATAACCCCAATTTTCACACCCCCCTTATTTATTTATTTATTCTGAGATGGAAGAATAAGATTTGACAAAAAATACTATTTTAAAAAAAAAAAACGTTCCTGGCATCAAGAAATGACTATTCCCTGTTGTCATGTGAACAGAAAATAATGGCGGGGGTGTAGGGCGTAGCTTAAGCCGAGCTAACATGGCTGCCTTGATCAGCGGCTGAGGTAAGGTTTTTGCCCTTGACCCCCACCTTGCTACTCTATGATATCCTCTCAGCTTTCTTTCTTGTCCTTTCAAATTGTCAGCTTGTATAGTCATGGCACCCTCAAAGTAGATCTATTCATTTTACTCCCCAACCCGTTTTAACCATTTTTCCCCCTGTATTTGGGATGGATGAAGAGATGCTGGAGGAGGAAAGGGATCTGCTTTTCAGTGCATGTGTTCTGGGCTGCGCAAGATGGTTGCACGAGTGATTGCGGGTAGTGAGTTCTTTTGCTCACCGTGTTTAGAGTGGAAGAGTCAGATTTTTCCATACGTGGCAAAAATCAGCTACGGTTGTGGCCTTGCTTCGGTTCTTCAGTGGTAGATGCAAAGAAGGCTTTCGTGGTTGCTTAGCAACGGTAGCACTCAATGTCCATGTCTAGCTTGGCTCAGAAGTGGTTGGAGAGCACATTCCACATTTGTTCTCCGCCACATCAAGCTGATCTCCATCCTTCCCGAACTAGTGGATGTTCCAATAAAGGATGTTGGGGAAGAAGGCCAAGAGGCACGGTCTGCAGTTCCTGGATTTAGGGTGCACAGATGGAAGAGGGAAATTGAGATGTTGTGGCTCAAGAGCTTCAGCTGAAATTCCCTCTCCAATTTTTGTGCTTTAGAAACCCAAAGGAGCCTGTGCCAGTGGGCTCTTCTTTAGGGTGGACAGCTCTTCTGGTTTCTGGATGGATCAGCTTTCTTTAATCTGGCAGCCTGCAGACGTTCTAGACCAGAGGTCTCCAACCTTGCCAACTCTTAAAGACTTGTGGGCTTCAGTTCCCAGAATTCCACAAGATTTTAAGACTTGTGGACTTCAGTTCCCAGAACTCCTCAGCCAGTTGTCTGGGAGATGAAGTCCACAAGTCTTAAAGTTGCCTGTTATAGACTACAATATTCATCCTTTTGAACAAGCATGACAAACTGTATTCTCAACTACATTGCAATCCAACACCTCCGGAGGCCACAATATGCTACTCCACACCACATCAAAGCCCACTAGCCCTTCTTTCATGTTTGCTCTTGCCCCCTTTTGCCATGACTCCTCTCTGCTTCCAGGTTCACCATCTGCCACAAGACAGAGGTGGTGAAGAACAATCTGAATCCAGTGTGGCAACCTTTTTCCATCCCTGTGCGCTCCTTGTGCAACGGTGACTATGACAGGTTAGAGTTCATATCTAAAGGCTGCGTCTCTGGGCCCAAAGGCTGGCAAATGACGGACCACCCAAAATATTGGAGGAGAAATTTAATTCGTATTTTTATGCTGTTTCCAGATCAAATGGTATAGATTGCCCCAAGGCTGTTAAAAACCATTGAAGTACCTTAGCTGGGAAAAGAGTAGCCAGCCTCCTTTAGATATCTATAAGGAGCAATCACTACAAAGGGCTATATAGATGAAACATATATACATTTTTAGTGGCATAAGGAAGATTGATATTCCCTGGCATGTTTCCCAGGAGTGAAGGAATGATCTAGAACAAGGGTAAGCAGCCTTGGCTCTTTTATGACTTGTGGACTTCAACTCCCAGAATTCCTGAGCCAGCATAAAAGAGCCAAGGTTGCCTACCCCTGATCTATATATTATGGACTGGCACTTAAAGGAATTTAATGAGTGTGGACATAAACTCTACACCAAGGGTGTCTAACTGCCGACCTGTGGGCCGGTCGCATTATGCAGAGGCCAAGCCCACCCCAGCTCCAGCAATGCAAAAAAAGTTGCGATACATCGCAACACGTCACGTGATGCGGCGAGTTTGACACCCGTGCTCTACAGCATATGGCCCATCTCCTTTTTCATTTGGGCTCCTGTTTTCCTAAACTGAAACCCTCCTTTGGAAATTCAACTTCTCTTGTTACTTGTTACTTCTGTTCTAGGACCGTGAAAATTGACGTCTATGACTGGGACCGGGATGGCAGGTGAGAATATGGACCAGTTTTTATAGACCCCCTTTCCCCCACCTGGATTTCCCAGAAATATTAATTTAGGGGTCCTTGGTGCTCTCTGAGCTTGGTTGTTTTCTTGCAGACATTTCATTACCCAGCTAGGTAACATCATCAGTGCTAGACTACACTAGCACTGATGATGTTACCTAGTTTGGATAATGAAATGTCTGCAAGAAAACAACCAAGCTCAGAGAGCACCAAGGGCCTCTCAGTTCAAACCTGAGCTTCAAATATTCTCCTTTAGTGTTAAATTACAATTCTTATCAATTCACCCAGCGTAGAATTGTAGCCCAAATCATTTGAGGGCATCATGATAGGGGAAGGTTAGTATAATCCTTTCTCTTATTCCAGAGATTCAAGAAACAATTATCTGGGCATTGTACGCTAATCGCATGGCATTACAACTAAAAATGAGTGAGGGTCGCTCACTTTCTGATACTCTCTTTCTCTCTTTATCCTGTGAAGGCTCTTTTTCTCCTTCTGCAAACTGTGAGCCACCAGCAAAGAGACATTTTGCCAAGGTTATTTAAAGTGGGGCCAAAAGTCATACTTTTCTTGTGCCCATCCTACCTTAATTAATAATAATAATAAAGTTGGAAGGGACCATGGAGGTCATCGAGTCCAACCCCCTGCTCAGGCAGGAACCCTACACCATTTCAGACAAATGGCCGTCCAGCCTCTTCTTAAAAACTTCCAGTGTTGGAGCATTCACCACTTCTGGAGGCAGGTTGTTCCATTGGTTAATTGTTCTAACGGTCAGGAAGTTTCTCCTTAGTTCTAAGTTGAATAGAGCAATCCCACTGGTGCTTATTTAGATGGAAATTCCATATAAGTGTTTGTAGGATTGAAGTCTTGACTTTAACAGAACAAATTTAAAGCTTCCTTTCCTTTCTTTCCAAAATCATTAGTTCCTAATCTGAAGCTAGGGTCGGTAGAAAGAATTGCCAGGACTTTTCGAAGCCTTCTTAGCTAGAACAGAAGCTCATGGCCAACCTTGGTTGATTTTATAAGGCTGATAGATAATGTTGTAAATGGGAGACCACCAAGAGGCTGTATGTAGACTAGGAAGTTGGAAAAAAAATAGATGGCAATTGGAAAAAGGATTTCCTTACCGTTGACAAGGAAATTACGTGTGATCAGAAAAAGCGGGATCAGATTTAAACAGGACTTCGGTGGGATATCGACATGGCTGTAGGTTGAATTAGAAAGTCAAAATAACGTACCAAAAGAAGGTACAGGTACAGCAGTGGCCAAAATTGTGGAAACCTTTTGGGAAAAGTGTATTTTTGAGGTTTGATGACTAATAACACCATTTGTTTTGGAGTAGTACCATAAAATTATATATCAATGGAAAGATAATTTAATCAAGAATGTAATGCAACAAAGTTTGTTCAATTATCTGTACTGTATTCTATAAAATGTTATAGCCAAATAACCAGAAAAAAGAAGCACAACTTGATTAGGTTGATATCAGGTAGCTTTCCTTCATTTGATTGTAGCCAATGAGTGTTTAGAGATCCAATCAGGTGTCATCTTGTTTTGGCAATGAGCCAATCAGATCACAGTAGGATTCAGTTATTGGTGTCATGTATTGAAGCTGAGAGGAGGACATTTGTCAGGGTGTTATGTGATTGCTATCAAGTTGGTTGGATTTTTTTGTGTTCTTTCATTTAGTGAGTTTGTAAAACATAATAAAATTAAAGTAATGGTGCAAAGAGTTGACTGGTTGCCCAGAAAGCAGTGTAAAATAGTATTATTAAGTGAACAAGGCTACAGTTACAAAGAAATTAGAAGAAAAATGGGTGGAAACTTAACCAAAGGTGGCATTTCTGCTGTACACTTTCCCCAAAAGGTTTCCACAATTTTGGCCACTACTGTAGTTTTCACTTACCAACTGCCTCATTTAGTGACTGAAGTTGCAAATATATAAACAGAACCGCTTTGCAACCTGTCATTGCATTTATGATTGTTGCAGAATCTCTTGGTCGAATGATCGCCATTCTGCCACTTTTCAACAGGCACACATTTACAATTGTGCGGTCATCTGATCCCCATTCATGTGCTTCCCAACTGGCTTCTGACAAGCAGAGTTAATGGAACACGTAGAAGTAAAAATCTCAAGTCACGTGATTTCTCACTTAAACGACCAAAGGGAACGATTGTTGGAAGCCCATTGTGGTCACACGATTTTTCCACTTAGCAGTTGAGGCACCTAACAACAGAGTCGTTGACCCCAATTGTGGTTGCTAGATGAAGACTACCTATAATGGGAACCAATTTATATTATTACCAAAAAAAAAAAATTGGATAGCTGTGGCCCTGGAGTCACCTGGAGGTTGCACCACACCCTTCAGACACTCCATATTTATCTATTGTCTTCCCCCTCACAGTCCCCGATCTGAGTTTCCCCCTGCTTAAGGTTTGGTGCTGGATCAGCGAATGGTGCATGACAATGTGACAAAATGAGTGATGGTCCTTTGGGCAGCAGATGGGAAAGGCCATTTTTAAGTACAAAGAAAAAAATCTGTAAAGGATGAAATCCAGAGACAGCAGAGAAAGATGAAAGAGTCTGCAGACTCTGTGCATTTGTGTTATTTTCTTCTGACTGAATTTGGGCTTTTGGACTCAAATGCAAACCACTCAAAATCCACTCCCACCCACCCCGTCCTCTCTCAATCTGCTGCATTTGTAGATGCACCCTGTGGGGAAAAGAGGATTAAGTGAATTGGGTGGGTGGAGTAATTAAAAATCCTAGGTTCTTCACAGCAGGATGTGGGATACTCAAAACACACGCTATTCATACACTTGCTCAATCCAGGTTTAAGCTACCCCGACAGGGAAGCATTACATTACTTCTTTCTTGTTGTCTCGGCAGCCATGATTTCATTGGAGAGTTTGCCACAAGCTATCGGGAACTCTCTCGCGCCCAGAACCAGTTCACAGTCTATGAGGTAAGTTTCCTCCTGGCAAAATACAGATTCTCTTGAACAATATTACCTTTTTTTTTTGCAGGGCTTGTACTACTCGGAGCCAACAAATTACATTTCTGCTGAGAAATCTGGGGATGTTTCGGATACCTGAGGACGATGGGTTTAAAAACAATGCCCACAAGCAAGTTTCTAGTCCTCATTGGTGTAGACTGTAGAGCAACCCAGTGACATCTGTTAACAATTGGTGAAAGATCTGGATACAGGAGAACTTGTTTGATTTTTCTGCTTTCAGAGTGGTTGGTTCTCTTGTGCTCTAATGAAGCTTGCTAGTATTAGTCCAGTCTCATCCCTTCAATCCAGCAGCATTTTGATTTCATTTATTTGTTAGATAGTATTCCATCTTTCCTTCAGAGGTTCAAGGCAGCACTGTCAGCAGCAACTGTCCGAACGAAGACGTGATAATATTCTGATGCAGATTACACCTTTCTAATGCAACCCAGACTTATGAAATACAGTTCTTCCAAAGTTTGACTATTGGTATTTGGTGATGGGGCTTGTGGATTTTGTAGTGCAGAAGAAAATAGATTGTCTGGCCAGTGATTTCCATGTTGTGAGCTTCAATTGTGATCCAGCTTCTGCTGTGATAAGGGAGGGTCCAAAGTCAAACGATTAAACAAAATTTATCTACCGAAGAGTGCAGGTTGAGTCCAGCATTGCCATATTAAAAGAATGGGATGGAAAAGATCTTTAAGGAAGAACAAAGGCTATTGTTATCAGCCTATGAAGATGTAGCCTAGTCATGCAAGATGTAGCCTAGTTTTTATTATGGCCACCAGCAATTTCATATATATTTTAGCATGTACATCAGTGCTATGTGCTAAAATACATCTTTTCAAGTTCTGCAATATGCACATGCTATACAGAGCCATAAGTGAAAATTTCCCCCTACTCCCAAGGATTTTCCTCTGAGGGCATCTAAAACTGTTGCTGCCATGTATTTGCAGAGCGTTGTTTCTTTGCTTACAGAAGATTGTGATGTACTGCAGTGCAAAACTAAAAAAAAGCCAGTTCTGTATCTTTGGGTACCAACGATACCAATTCTTTCTTAGAATTATGAACAGAGGACAGTCACTTCTGAATGGACTCTCTCTCATTTAAGCCAGAACTGTGTGCTCAGCAGCTTTTTAAAAATATCAGCCAAAAAGAATAATTACATTTGATAGGGAGGTTTAAGACTTTCCCCTAACCTTCCCTCTTTGATTTTCAGTGGTAAAGGAAAAAGAAAAAAGAATAACTAGGAGTTAACGTAAGGAGAGTCCATTTGGAAACCAACTTCATTTAGGATCATCCTATACAGGTAATCCTCGAGTTATGAATAGAACGGAGCCTGACAATTACTTTCATAACCCGAGGATTTGTAAGAGTGAATCACGTAACAACAACAACAACAATAATAATAATAATAATAATAACCACAACAACAATAATAATAATAACTTTTGAATACAGACAGATCGCCATTTGGAACACAATACGCCAGATATCGCAGTTGTAGAGAACCGAAGCGTACAGCTGATTGATATCGCTGTACCAGGAGATGCCAGAGTCAAAGAAAAAGAACTGGAAAAAATTATGAAATATCGCGACCTGGCCATCGAAACTGTGCAATTATGGATGAAACGTGTAACAGTGGTACCCATTGTCAACGGAGCACTGGGAACTGTGTCCCAAAACTTTGCAAAATACATCAAAAAACTGCAGCTTCCTGCAATAACTCCAGCAATGTTACAAAAAACTGCGCTACTCGGAACATCTATTTTAAGGAGATACCTGGTTGACACCTAGGATGCTAATAGCAACCCGTGTCAGCCATCAGCGCCAGCCAATTTTAATGTTCAGTTGACTGAAGTTCATGTTTAATGAATAAAAGATAATAATAATAATAATAATAATAATAATAAGAAGAAGAAGAAGAAGAAGAAGAAGAAGAAGAAGAAGAAGAAGAAGAAAGAAGAAAGGAGAAGGAGAAGGAGGAGAAGGAGAAGGAGAAGGAGAAGGAGAAGAAGAAGAAGAAGAAGAAGAAGAAGAAGAAGAAGAAGAAGAAGAAGAAGAAGAAGAAGAAGAAGAAGAAGAAGAAGAAGAAAGTTGGAAGGGACCTTGGAGGTCATCTAGTCCAACCCTCTGTTCAGGCAGGAAACCCTATACCATTTCGGACAAATGGCTGTCCAGTCTCTTCTTAAAAACTTCCAGTGTTGGAACGTTCACCACTTCTGGAGGCAGGTTGTTCACTTGAAAGTGATCACTCCCTGCTTTCGCCCACATATTCGCAGGTCGTTAATTGCACAAGATATCTCAGGATGGGGAAGGCCATGGGGGACCTAGTGCTGCTGAGTACCCAAGGCCTCCCCCGCTCCACTGAGATATCTCATGCTCCCCCCCCCCGATCCCGCCCGCTCGATGATCAAGGGAGCTTCTCCCCTCCAGCCTCTCTGCCACGATTTCGCCTTGAGCAAAAACTTGCCGTGGCCTGCAGGGATGAGAGATTGCATCGCTGTAGGCTCCAGTCGTCTTTGAAAAAAGCCTTTTCTGCCCAGAACGAAGGCCGGGAAGGACGCACACTCCCCTCCCGGCCTCCGTTTATAGCAGCAAAGGCTTTTTGCAAAGACGGCAAAGGGCTTTGCAAATGGAGGGAAGGCTTCGGTACGTCAGGCCTTCTCTCAGTTGGCAAAGCCCTTTGCCTCAGATCTCGTCCAGGCCTCTGTTTGCAGAGAACAGAGGCCTAAAGTAGTGTGAGATCACGGGAGTTCAGTAGTGCGAGATCTCATGCTACTGATCTCACATGATCTTGTACTTTAGGCTTCCATTCTCTGTGAATGCATCGAAGGCCTGAAGCACAGAAGCAGGCCAAGGAACCAAAGACTCACTAGATCAGTGATGGCGAACTTTTTAGACACCGAGTGCCCAAAAACCTCTGTGCCCCCTGCCCCACCTGCTCCACCCCGCCTTCTGCCCCACCCACTGTCCCATCCCACCTCCACCTCCCACAGAGCCACCTACCACTTCCACGGCCCACCGTGGCAGATTGCCCTGGTGGCTCTGCAGCACCATGGCGGCCACGCAGAGATGATGCTGCGGGGCGCGGAGTCTTGTACCTGCTGCCTGGCTGCCATGTCCTTGGCTACGCTGCTCTGCACGAGCCACGACCAGGGGTGACTCTCCTCCGGGGCAGCTGCTGGTGAGGAGGGGGCTGTGGGGGGAGGCAGGGCTGGGGCGTGCCCACAGAGAGGGTTCTGAGTGTCGCCTCTGGCACGCGTGCCATAGGCTCACCACCACTGCACTAGATCTTCACAAGGTGAGTATCCACAGGCCCAGTGCCTGTGGACCTTCCCCGGGGGGGATAGGTAGAGCAAATGTTGCAGTGCCTCTGCAGTCGTTCGTAAGGGTGAACAACTGGGCGCTGCAACATTTGTAATTTCAGGACTATGTCATAAGTAAGTCCATAACTTCGAACAGTTTCTAAGTGAACTGTCGTAACTCAAGGATGGCCTGTATACTGCAGTTTCAAGAGCCATGGTGAGCACAGTGGTTAGAATGCAGTATTGCAGTATAACTCTGCCAAACTGCCAGGAGTTCAATCCTGACCGGCTCAAGGTTGACTCAGCCTTCCATCTTTCCGAGGTCAGTAAAATGAGGAGCCAGATTTTTAGGGGCAATAAGCTGATGCCATAAATTGCTTAGAGAGAGCTGTAAAGCACTATGAAGCAGTATATAAGTCTAAGTGCTATTGCTATTTCATAAATGAGGCTGGAAAAAAAATCTCCATAAAAGCCTCATTTGGAAACACCCAACTTTCAGAATATCTTTTATCATTTGGAAACATCTTCGCTTTTCCTTGGATAAATGAATCTGTGGCCCATTTTTGCATCTTTCCATACTAGCTTGCATGGGCTGCTATCTGGCAGTGCCTAGTCCAGTGGTGGCGAACCTATGGCACGTGTGCCAGAGGTGGCACGCAGAGCCCTCTCTGTGGGCCCGTGTGCTGTCGCCCCAGCCCCGCCTCCCCCTGTGGCCCCCTCCTCACCAGCAGCCTCTCTGGAGGAGAGTTGCCCCTGGGCGCAGCCCGCGTGGAACAGTGCAGCTAAGGACATGGCAGCTGGGCAGCAGGGACAATACTCCGCCTTTGCACCCCGTCGTGCACAAATGATGCTGCAAGGCGCGGGCGGAGGGCGTGGCCACCATGGCGCTGCAGGGCCGCCTGGGCGATCTGCGGTAGGCCATGGAGGCGGTAGGTGGCCCTGTGGGCAAGTGGGGCGATGGTGGAGCAGGGACAGGCTTGGCAGGGCAAGATGGGTGGGGGCAGGGTGGGGGTGGAGAGGACAGGGTGGAGAGGGAGGGTGGGGCAGAGCAGGGGTGGGAGGGGCGGTTTTTGGGCACTCGCTGTCTAAAAGGTTCGCCATCACTGGCCTAGTCTAAATTAAGAGGTAGGTGGCCTCGCCTTTCAGGAAGAGGAGCTGGGGTACAATGCTTCTGTTCTTTATAGCTCCGTGAATCTGTATAACGGGACTATAGAAGCCCCAAAAGGAGAAGAAGCATTTGCACAGATGGAGCTTTGGTGCTAGAGTTATTTCTTTGTTTCTTTATTATTTTTATGACTAACTCAAGAACGTGCCCCAAACTCCTTCCTCCTCTTATTTTTCCCCAAACAGCCACCGTATGAGGTAGATTGGATTGAGAGAAATTGACTGGTCCAAAGTCACCTACTCGGCTTTCATGCCTAAGGCAGGACTAGAACTCATGATCTCCTGGTGATTGGTCTACATCAGAGGTAGGCAACCTTGGCTCTTTTATGACTTGCGGACTTCAATACCCAGAATTCCATGCTGACTCAGGAATTCTGGGAGTTGAAGTCCACAAGTCGTAAAAGAGCCAAGGTTGCCTACCCCTGGTCTAACTCATCCACCTGGCTTTCATGTCTAAGGCGGGACTAGAACTCACAGTCTCCTAATGATTGGTCCAAAATCACTCAGCCAGGGTTCATGCCCAAGGCGGGACTAGAACTCACGGTCTCCCAGTTTCTATTCTGGTACCTTAACTACTCGACCAAACTGACTGTCTAATTTGTTAGTTGAAGGGAAAAAAGTGCTCCTCTCTCATTCATTCTTTCCTTCCATCTCCAGGTTTCGAACCCTAGGAAGAAGTGCAAGAAAAAGAAGTACATTAACTCGGGGACTGTAAGTGTAGGACGGTTTTTCCACCCCCCCTCTTAGCCCACACAATCCCTGCCATCCCTCATCCTTACAAATCAGTGCACTGAGTCATGGGAAGCTGATGGGACTCTTTTCACTGGGGCACACTCCAGCTTTTTCCTGTCAAACGTCTTATCTCAGCGGTTCTCAACCTATGGGTCACGACCCCATTTGGGGTCGACCGACCATTTCACGGGGGTCGCCAAGCAAGGCTGTCCGCCATTTTTTCCCCCTTTTCCGGCGGGTGCCTTACCTCCCTTGGGCTGGGCCAGCTGGTGGTCGGCCTGCTCCGTCTCTGCCGCTTGCCAGCTACGCCTCGGCCGGCGGAGGGGGTGGAACCGTGCATGCGCGGCGCTCCCGGGCAGGGAAAGTCCTCGACTTACGACCCGTTGGGTAGTCCTCGGCTCACGACCAGTTTAGTCCTCGACTTACGACCGGTTTAGTCCTCGACTTACGACCGGTTGGAGGTCGCGGCATTAAAAAGGTTGAGAACCACTATCTTACCTGCTCTAAAAAAAAAAAAGGGCAGCACTTGCTTGCGTTATCAAAGCCAATCACATTTCCCTTCTCTTCCTGAATCACTTCTCTCGAGGGCAATCCAGAACAGACCTCCACCCTACCCCCTCACCCCCAAATCTTTCTTTCTGCCCAGATGACTGCACCATCCGGAATATCTCATACTTCTTTTTTCTTCTTCTTCTTCTCTTTTGTTTGTGTTTCTCTGTTCCTGGTAGGTAACCCTTCTGTCATTCACAGTGCAGTCAGAATTCACCTTTGTTGATTACATTCGAGGCGGGTGCGTCGGTTGAAAATCCTGGATGCCTCTCAGGTCCCTGGTTTCTGAGGGCCATGGGCCCTCAGCCCTCTTCCTGTTCACTGCCTCTGAGGCATTGCGGGGCGGAGGGGGGAACTTATAAGAGGGCATCAGGGGCAGAACGCAATGACTTTTAAGGTGATAAGGAAGTAGATGCCTCAGGAAGTGGCACATTGGGGTGGGGGTGGGGATGCTCTGGTCTCTTCAAGAGGGAGACTTCCTGGTGCTGGAAAGACGATGAATTGCCTAGCACACACAAAAAAAAGGGAGCACCCTCGGGACATTGGAAGGGATCCCCAAGGATGGCAGCATCCATTACTCTCTCTCGTTTCCGCACCGTCCTTAGGACACAGCTGAATTTCACAGTCGCCATTGACTTCACGGCCTCCAATGGTGAGTGCAGCACACCCGTGTGTCACTCTGGGAACAGAGGGCAGCCCTGCTGCTGGTAACAAAGCAGCCAGGTTGACTCTGATGCTTGCTGAGGTTTGTTTAGGACCGGCCACATCTGGGCGCCGTCTCTGCTCCCATTATTTGGGGAGTTGGGAGGAGAATTCACGTGGGCCCGTTGGATAGGGATGGCTAAGGAGGAAGATGTCGGACAACCTGTGTTGTGATTTCAAGAAAACTTTGGGCTGGGGAAGGGGGAAAAGGTGGATGCAGAATTTTTGCGACTGACAAAATTCCCTTTTCACAGGGAACCCATCGCAACCCACTTCTCTTCATTACATGAGCCCTTATCAGCTCAGCTCCTATGCCATGGCTCTGAAAGCAGTTGGCGAAATCATCCAGGATTATGACAGCGACAAACTTTTCCCTGCTTACGGCTTTGGCGCCAAGGTCCCACCAGACGGCAAAGTGTCTCATCAGTTCCCTTTGGTAAGAAAGAACCCCCTGGGCGAAGATGGGGGAGACCATAACGGGAGAATGCCTGCCAATGCCACATGTAATTGCAAGACCCATTTTCATCTGAATGGGTCTGAGATAGCATGGAGGTGGCGCGACGGCTCAGTGGTTGAGACGCTGAGCTTGTCAGCTGGAAAGTCGACAGCCCGAGTTTGAGACCCAAACACCGCGCAGCAGGGTGGGCTCCCGTTCCTTGCCCCAGCTCCTGACCCACCTAGCAGTTTGACGTGAGTAGATAAATAGGTACCACTTTGGTAGGAAGGTTAGTGCATTCCATATTTTCATGCTGGCCACAGGATGATGGAAGCGTCTCTCAGACAACGCAGGCTTCCTCAGCTGAGAATCGGACACGAACACCGTCCCCCCTTGAGTTGGTCATACTTGGACAGGGGAAACCTTTAAACCTTTTAGAAATAGTTATGTCTGTTTGGGAGATCTTCTGCATGCAAGATGGGTTGAAGGAATACATTAGGAGAGATGCTCTTATGCTCTTAAGGAAAAAGAGCTTTCCTAGGGTCAGTTCTGTAAAACAGGGCTTTTCAACCTTTTCACCCATTGTACCACTTTTAGGATATGGCAACATCCGAGTACCACCAGTCGCCTAGCAAGGTGTCAAAAACTTGATGACCCCCCCCCCCAAAAAAGGAAAAAAGTCATAAAGTACAGGTAGTCCTCGACTTACAACAGTTGCCAAGCATATGAATGTAAATCACAAGACCCTGGAGATGCTGCCACATTCCAGCTGATCGGCGCTTCTTCTGGGCTCAGCAGAAGCGTCAGGATCAGTGCTGCTTTCCAACTGATTGGTACTTCTTCAGGGCTCAGCAGAAGCACCAGGATCAGCGCCAAGCTCCAGCTGGAGCCTGGCGCTGATCCTGGCGCTTCTACTGAGCCCTGACAGCCCTGAAGAACCGCCGATCAGCTGGAAAGCGACACTGATCCTGGTGCTTCCGCTGAGCCCTGCAGCTCCAGCCATCTCTCACTCAGGCTTGTGCGGTGCTGCCACCGGTTCAGCTCATTCCCCTCCCCCGCTACCACTTTTCTAGGATGGTCGCGTACCACCTGCCAAGTGCCATTATACCACAGGTGGTACCCATACCACTGGTTGAAAAGCCCTGCGTTAAACACTCCATCATAGTTTCACATTCCCTTTTTTTTTTTATAGATTTTATAATTTTTTATACGGTTAGGGATAAGGTGGCGTTGGGATTAGGGTTAGGGTTGGGGTTTGGGCTAGGGTTAGGGTTAGGGTTGGGGTTGGGGTTGGGGTTGGGATTTTTCCAATAACATTTTCAATATTTAGTAAACAGCATAATGTTTGGGTACATGTATTTAACTAACAATAATAGATATAGTTAATTATCCTAAACAATATGTTAATTCATCACTCAATAGCTGCCTTCTTACTAATATATATTCAAAATGACATATCACATTCCTTTCTCTCTGACTCGTTTTTCTAGCCATTGATAAAAATTATCCTATGTTCTAAAGTACACTGAGTCTTCTTTCTCTTTTCTCTTTAAAGTCAATCTATCCATTTCTGCATAGTTCCACATTCCTAAACAGACCCTTGAAAGTTAGATTCAGGTAGTTCTCAACTTACGACCGGTTACTTAGCGACTGTCCAAAGTGACAACTGACTAAAAAAAGGGGGATTTATGACTCAGATTTGAAGTTCCAGTGGTCGAGCTTCCTCCGCAGCCACACGACCAAGTTTCAGGCGCTCCGCAACACAGATGCATTTATGGCCATTTGCAGCATCCCATAGTCACCGTTTTATGACGGCTTCGCCAAAACGCGGCACTTATTTCCGGTTTTCAGCAAAACCACACCTTAGCAAACTGTTGGTGACTTAATGACCACAGGGTTCGCTTAACAACCACCACCACCCCAAAAAAATATGGGTCAATCACATGACCAACCTGTTTTATAATCATCCCAACATGCAGCCATAACGGGAAGGATTGCTGACATGGTGATGATTGTAAATGTGGGCGGGTGGCCAAGTCCCCAAATTTTAATCACATGACCGTGGGGACACTGCAACAGCTGCATCTTCCAGGATGGGTCATAATTTTTTTCAGCACCATCATAACTTCCAATGTTAGCTAACCCAGGGACTACTTGCAATCTGCATAGGCTTCAAGGTCCTTTATCTATCTACGACTCCAGTTATCTTTTTAATCAATTATTTTAAAATTATTCTATGGATAATTTGTAAGAAAAGAAAAGCATAGCTGTATAATGGCATATAATTCTGTGCTGCTATTTTGGGGATTGTGATTTCATAATTCTTTAGATCATGCTAATTTATAACCCTAAGATCATGCCAATTTTAAGCAATTATTTTAGAGAATCTCGGAGGTCATCATCATCATTCTATTAACAGACTTGATGGTGATGTGCAGAACTAATTTATTTCAAATTCTATTATAATATTAAATTATATTACCTCATTATGGTGACATTGGAAGTAGCGTTATAGATAGAAAGGGGTTTTAGCATTTTCTTTACCACTGAATAAGTTATCACAGCCATATACATCATTGATTAGAAGTTAATAAGAAAGGTTTCCAATTCAGAGAATGGGGGTTCCAAAGTACTATATCTTTTAATATTTCTTTTCTAAAATGTTGTCGTTGTGAGGAATATGTAAGGGTCAGCCGTACTCAAGGGTATCTGCAGGGTGGGTAAAAAAAAAGTTAAGTTGCTGGACACAATCAGGGCAATCCAAGATTTGTCTTTTTTTAAAAAAAATGTGTAACACATGCAGCACATGTTAAAAAGAGATGTATCCTTAACTGTGTAGTCACTGCTGCCATCTTGACTTTGGTGCATGCGTGCGCATGCACACACACACACACACACACACACACACACCATGAACGTTCCACTCGCCCTTTCCGATTTATGGATTAGATTATATCAGGGATAGGCAACCTTGGCTCTTTTATGACTCGTGGACTTCAACTCCCAGAATTCCTGAGCCAGCATGGCTCAGCTTGGAAACTTCTCCCTTTCCCCTCAGCATGGCTGGCTCAGGAATTCTGGGAGTTGAAGTCCACGAGTCATAAAAGAGCAAAGGTTGCCTACCCCTGGATTATACAATCAATTGTGGTCTTCAAACCCATAGCCATTTACACAGTTGATGCTTCAGCTTATGTAGACCAGCCAAAACAATCAAAAGCACTTCTCAAGTAGACTTCTATGAGTCTTTCACTAGGAAAACTCTCAAAAGTTCTAATTCTCCCAAGTTTGACAGTGTGGGGCCCTTGGTTCTCTGAGCTTGGTGGTTTTTTTGCAGACATTTCATTACCAAGCTAGGCAACAGTGCTTAAGGACTGACTTCCCCAACACAATGCTCTTCATCCCTCGCAGAATTCCCAGCTCTAGAGCCCTTGAGTGTTCAGTGAAGAGTCTCTCATACCTGCACTGTCCAGTTTGCTGAGCCGTGCCATTGTCTCCCTAGAACAATAATCCGGACAATCCCAACTGCGAGGGCATCGAAGGAGTATTGGAATCCTATTTCCAAAGCCTACGTACTGTGCAGCTCTACGGACCCACCAACTTTTCACCTGTCATCAACCAGGTGGCCTGGTAAGTGGGGAGGGGAAGAGGAAACCACCTGTCGGCCTTCTTGTCTCTCGGAAAGGTTGAAAAGCGATTTGGTCTAGTGCAGGGGTAGGCAACCTTGGCTCTTTTATGACTCGTGGACTTCAACTCCCAGAATTCTTGAGCCAGCCATGCTCGGTTTCATTTGAGCAAGTTACCATCTCTCGTATTAATTCCACCTGCAGCTGCTGCTTACTTCCTCTCCTGGAAGAAGCCACAAATCCCTTCCAGGCAACAATGCCAACAGCTGCTAGTCACAGCAACACAGCCACTTGCCCAAGAAGTATTATATACAATGCTGTATGTGCTGATGGCCTAACCCAGGGGTGGGGAACCTTGGCTCTTTTATGACTCGTGGACTTCAACTCCCAGAATTCCTGAGCCAGCCATGCTGAGGGGAAAGGGAGAGGTTTCCAAGCTGAGCCATGCTGGCTCAGGAATTCTGGGAGTTGAAGTCCACAAGTCATAAGGGGCCATAGTTCCCCCATGCTGGCTCAGGAATTCTGGGAGTTGAAGTCCACGAGTCATAAAAGAGCCACGGTTGCCTACCCCTGGTCTAGTGGTTAAGACACCAGGCTTGAAAGTGGGAGACTGCGAGTCCCAAGTCCTGCCTTAACCATAAAGGCCAGCTGGGTGACTTTGGGCCAGTCCCTCTCTCTCAGCCCAACCCACCTCACAAGGTTGTTGTTACGGGGAAAAGAGGAGGAAGGTGTGTCGGATGTGTTTGCCGCCTTGATTTATTTGTAAGAATAATAAAAGTTATTACTTATAAATAAGTAAAATAAAAGAGTCAAGTGGGCCATTCTCAGCCAAGGCTTCTGGGAACCCAAACAGCCCAGTGTGTCTCGGGCAACTGCAATCTTCATTGCTTGACCTATTAAGGCAGCGGCCCATGCAAGATTTGTGCAGCAGTAAAGAAGGAAAGAGGAGAGAAGAGTAGCCCAGCAGGAAGAGCTTATGCCTTGCCTGCAGAATAAGGCAAAAGAAGAGGTGGAAGGCCTCCAAATGCAGAGAGCTGATGTCGGCTGGTGTTGACGAGTATCAAATCTGATTCTGAATAAAGCTTAAGTCGGCTTCTCACATTCTTAGCTTGCTAACTAAGGCAGCTGCTGTACTTTTTGGGACAAGGGAGCTGTGGACAGGACTTTCAAGGAGGCTGTGGGAAGCAAGGTGCTGAAATTAGGGCTCTCCATCACTCTCTTCTCTCTGTTTCCCAGTTTGGCTGCCCAGGTCACTGATGGCTCCCAGTATTATGTTCTTCTCATCATCACCGATGGAGTGATTTCCGACATGCTGCAGACTAAAGAAGCAATTGTCAGTGTGAGTCAGCCTTGCGGTAGCTCACCGGGTAATAAGAAAAGGAACAGAGTCAAGGTTTGGGGCATAAAAGCACATTGACAGACCCAGATGCTACCGTCCTCAATTGTGTGCTTGCATGTCAGTGTGGGTCAATCAAGAAAGGTGCCCACCGATGACTCTCAACGTACAACCATTCGTTTAATGACCGTTCCAAGCACTGGTAAAAGTGACTTATGACCATTTTTCACACTTATGACCGTTGCAGCATCACCATGGTCACGTGATCAGAATGTGGACGCTTGGCAACTGGCTCATATTTATGACGGTTGCAGTGTCCCAGGGTCGTGTGATCATCTTTTGTGACCTTCTGACAAGCAAAGCCAATGTCATGGTTCCGACAGATGAAACTCTTCAAAGAACTATGAGGCATTGTTTACCTTAAAGTATCTTTATTCGAGCAGCATAGCATCGGCATGTACATAGGCAAACCCAAAATCTGAATTCCCCTCCCCTGAGCACATAGCATCAAAGCAAATTCCTTCCTCTAATTAACAGTCATAAATCACATTCTCCAATTAGTTTGAAATGCAGGCTTTCCCTCCAGTTCTTCAACCCGCCATTCCTTATCATCTCTTATTTCAAAAAACCTTGGTTCTCATACTAGTTACAATATTGTTATGTCTAACTAAACTCCCATGCACATTCCTCCTCCTCCCCCCCAGTTGATACTCTAATTCTAACTCTAATTCTAAGAGTAAAACATAAGAAGGAAAATGGCTGCATCCCCATATGTTGTCAAAGCAAGAACATCCGATGTTAGCAGCGTTGACAGCCAATGGGGAAGCCGGATTCACTTACCAACCGTGTTACTAACTTAGTGATTCACTTAACAACTGGGGCAAGAAAAGTTGTCAAATGGGGCAAAACCCGGTTAACAGCTGTCTCGCTTAACAACAGAAATTTTGGGTTCAGTTGTTGATTGTAAGTCAAGGACTACCAGTAGAGTCTTCGCCTACCTCAATTACCAGCCATTGTGGCATTTGGCACATGAGAGTGGGGAATAGAAGTTCCAAAACTTTGGAAGACGGTAGTTTATTTCCTAAATTGCAGTTGAGACAATAACCTTTTTCTCTGCAGGCTTCTTCCTTGCCCATGTCTGTCATCATTGTGGGAGTGGGCCCTGCTGAGTTTGGGGGTAAGTGTTCTACTCATTCAGATGAATATTGAGCCATCAGGGAATTGGGTCAGAGGAACCCAAAGAGCGGATATGATGCTTTGAGAAGAGTGCAGGTTGCCAAAACATCAAGGCTGGCATCCTAGTCCTAGTCCCATAAGCAAAGGTTGGCATCAAGGCTGGCATCAAGGCTGGCATCCTAGTCCTAGTCCCATAAGCAAAACTTCACAGCAGAACTTCCTTGCTGTTGATTGCTGATCCTTTGCAAAGCTAGAGCAAAACGCAGAAATAAAGACCTTAAGATTTATTCTCCAGCCAGGTGTCAGTAACAGTTCTCCTGGAAGATGGCAACAAATGTTAAGGTTTTTGTTTCTTTGTTTGTTTCCTTGTTATCTTCAGCTATGGAAGAGCTGGATGGGGATGAAATACGGGTCTCCTCCAGGGGGCGCTATGCTGAGAGAGACATCGTACAGGTAACCCTTCTTTGAGAATCTGGCTGATTAGAATGGGCTAAAGCAGAGGTCCCCCAACCTTTTGAGCACCAGGGATCCGGTTCCTTGGAGAAAGGTTTTTCGGCGGACCGGAGGGTGCATGGTATTGTGTGCTGCCCTGCATCCCACAGATGGGGCTTTGCTTGTTTGTGCAGACCGGTTGCTGGCATGCTGCAGCCCGCTACCGGTCCACAGACCGGGGGTTGGGGTCCCCTGGGCTAAAGGAAGGTTTCTGAGATGAATTGTCCTCTTCCTGACTTGTTTCTCTTAACAGCATCAAACTATGCAAGGAGTGAGGTGCTAGGATAGTGGTGGCGAACCTATGGCACGCGTGCCAGAGACGGCACTTAGAGCCCTCTCTGTGGGCACGCACGCCACGCCCCGGAGATGGTAACCGTCCCTCTTCAACCAGCCGCCTGCTAACTTGCCGAGGTCCCACATGGCCAGATGCATCCCAGCATCCATGCACTCACTGGCCTCTGTGTGCAGCAGCTAATGGTGTCAGGCAGCAGCCGCCCCGGCCCCTGCCTCACCTTGCCCTGTGACAATGGCACCTCGCCCTGCCTCGCCTCACCTAGCAGGACGAGCCTCCTGCCCACCGCCCCACCTGCCAGAGACCCCCTGGATCTCCCCTGGCCGCCACAGGCATCCCTCCCCACGAGCAACATCGAGGTGATCACACCCACCTTGGCCACACCCACCCAATCTGCCATGATCACCACAGCCACGCCCACCCAGTGGGCCACGCCCATCTGGCATCCAGTGATAAATAAGTGGGTTTTGGGTTGCAGTTTGGGCAAGTTGGTCTCTAAAAGGTTTGCCATCACTGTGCTAGGATTTCTAACTGATTATCACCAAGTGTTTTGCAAGAATTATCCCGTAAGAGAGTCTTTCCCATGCTCAGCATGCGGCCTTTTGTTAAGAACAGAGGATGTTCGTTCTGATCTGCTTCTGTAGGAGAAAAATTCTCCCCAAAATTTGTTTAAACGGGCACGCCATTCCGGTGAAATATGGATGGTTTCATAGGGTACCAGAGGCAGTGAAAGCAAAATGAAAGACGGCAGAGATGCAACTCTTCCATAAACCCCTCTATAAATTAAAATATATACATGATTGGATACAACAAGATAACTGACTAATATGGGGGGATATGGGGGGAGGGGGAGATTCTATGAGGTAATGGGTATAACTACAAAGACAATGATGTCTAAAAAAGAGAAGAACTGAGATGACATGATAGCAGTCTTCCAATATTTGAGGGGCTGTCACAGAGAAGAGAGGGAGTCAACCTATTTTCCAAAGCACCTGAAGGCAGAACAAGAAGCAATGGATGGAAACTAATCAAGGAGAGAACCAACCTAGAAATAAGGAGAAATTTCCTGACAGTGAGAACAATCAATCGATGGAATGGCTTTCCTTCAGAAGTTGTGGGTGTTCCATCACCGGAGGTTTTTAAGAAGAGATTGGACAGACATTTGTCTGAAATGGTACAGGGTCCCCTACCTAAGCAGGGGGTTGGACTAGAAGACCTCCAAGGTCCCTTCCAACACTGTTATTCTATAATCTGTAACTTAATTACCTTTAGTGAGTTACTTTTAATCGGTTTATCTCATAATGTTCTTGCTTCTGACAGCCTACGTTCACTCCTATCCTATTTCTTCTAGTATTATAAAAATTTCTTAAACTTCTAAATATTTTATGGCTGAACAGGCAGGGCCTATTGTTTCACAAGTCCATGAGAAGGTGTTTTTGGAAAGGGTGTGTTTTGCTTATCCTAACCAACACCATATTTTCTCTTGCACTTCCATCAGCACTTCTCTACATGCTGACATGAAAATGTCTGCCATGGTTATCATATGTGCCTGTGGCATTATACAATATTGTGTGCTGATCAAGGTACCCCTTCATGACCTAGAGGACTGGACATCAACCCTTACTTTATCATCCAGATCAGATTGCCAGCCTGAAAATATGGCATTTATTTTGATATAGTCTTACAGTATTAACTTATCCTTGCAGTGCAAAGGATAGTGTGCAAAGTTCCCTGTCCAAGAAAAATAGCAGGATTTTTGTGGCTGTTTGTGGCTGGGATTTGGGAGTTAAAGAGTTAAGTCTGGAAGATACTTATTTGAGCACCTTAACTTCTTGCAAAACTTATACATCTACACATGAGCTATGATCAATCTCAGTGTTTGTTTTACTGACCTGAATTGCCGGTGGGCATAAGAAAACAAAATTCAAATATTGGCAATATGGCAGATAGAAGGGACTTATATATTTCTAGGGCAACTGGTGGTGTAATGGTTAAAGTGCAGTATTGCAGGCACTCTGCCCACAGTCTATAGTTCGATCCTGACAGGGCTCAAGGTTGACTCAGCCTTCCATCCTTCCGAGGCCAGTAAAATGAGGACCCAGATTGTTAGAGGCAATATGCAAATAATGCCTCTACGTTATAAACTGCCCAGAGAATGCTATAAAGTGCTGTAGAGCGGTATATAAGCCTAAATGCTGTTGCTATTGCTATGTAGTGTGTGTGTGTGTGGGGGGGTATTCAGCCCTCATATCTTTGCTCATGTAAACTGAATTGGGAAATATGAAGTTTTCCTTCTTCTGCTGCTATTGATACCCAAGGCTGCACCAGACTTGGGGATCTAATTCAGTACCCTCCTGCCGTTTTGTGTCTTTCCTGCTGTTGTAGTTCGTGCCCTTCCGAGACTACGTAGACCATTCCGGCAACCACATTTTAAGCATGGCACGCCTGGCGAAAGATGTCCTAGCCGAAATCCCAGAGCAGCTGCTTTCGTATATGAAAACCCGAGACATCAAGCCCCTTTCTGCTAGACCACAGTAGCTCCGTCTTCTCCATAGCCTGAAGCCATTCAGATAATTCTGCTCCAGCTGGGACTGGCAAGATGCTTTCCCCCTAGCCTAGGCACGCGGGCTCTTCCCTCTCTTTCATTCAGAACTGGCTAGATCAGGGGGACAGGAAGTTCACTAGGGGGAATTGGGCAGGATTGAGTGCCATGCTTCACACGCCAGATGAGACACCAGCACAAAAGTGTGGCTCCACCCAGGATCTCAAGAAGGTGATTCCAGTTTCATAAAACAAGCCCGGCAAGAGCCTCGAAAGAAAGATGGAGTTCAGAAGAAGAAGCAGCATGCTGGGGATCCTGGAGCTGTGTTTCCTTCAAGACCAGTTTGTTTAGTAAAGTGCCATGGAGCCCTCTTTCTGCCTGGTTATTGACAATAAAGTATCCTTGGTCCCAGGATCACTATGGCTATTTTATTCTATTTTATTTTATTCTCACATGGTTATTTTATTCTATTTTACTTTGGAAAGAGTGCAGAAAAGAGCAATAATGATGATTAGGGGACTGGAGGCTAAAACACATGAAGAACAGTTGCAGGGATTGGGTATGTCTAGTCTAGTGAAAAGAAGAACTAGGGATAACATGTTAGCAATGTTCCAATATTTTGCCACAAGGCTACCACAAGGAAGAGGGGAGTCAGTCTATTTTCCAAAGCACCGGAAGGCACGACAAGAAACAATGGATGGAAACTAATCAAGGAGAGAAGCAATCTAGAACTAAGGAGAAATTTCCTAACAGTGAGAGCAATTAATCAGTAGAACAGCTTGCCTTCAGAAGTTGTGGGTCGTCCATCACTGGAGGCTTTTAAGAAGAGACATTTGTTTGGAAAGGTATAAAGTCTCCTGCTTGAACAGGGGGTTGGACTAGAAGACCTCCAAGGTCCCTTCCAACTCTGTTATTCTGTTCTCTTCTGTTCTATTTTGTCAGTGTTGACTACCTGTCACCAATCTAGGCTTCCCAGACAAGGGGGGAGGATCTGTCTGCCCCTCTGTTCAAGAGAGAGGATCTCTCTGTCCAACCCTGCTTACATTTAACACAGCTGTAGTTTTCAGACATATTTTATTCATTGTAAATTGCCAGTCTGCTGCAGCCACACGCACTGTGAATCTGAGAAAATATGGGATGCGGATACTTCTGACAAGAAGTTACAACCTGGAATTAAAACAAGAGAAAACTAACATAAATTTACACTAGTACCAGGCACAGAAATCTTGCATTTTTTCTTACCAATTCTAACTCAGTTTGACACGTTCCTTTTTTTTTTTTTTTTAGCAGAAGGTGGGGACTTTTTGCGTCAATGGGTGCATTTCCTCAGGGATAAGATCCAACGTCAACATCTTAGAAAAAAAGGCTATGACCTGAAATACGTTTGGATAGGATGGAAGGGAGAACGTGGAGGAAAAATTCTTCGGAAGGTCGGAGGGAGATGGAACAGTTGGGATTTTCCAACAGACACAGTTAGCAGGAATTGGGTGAATGAGGTCCAAGTAATAAATTCTTAGGTTAGCAAAAGGCTCAGGAGAGGAACATCAAATTACTCGTCAAAATCCATAAAAGGAGTTATACAGGCATGGCATTCTGACCACCTTGTCTCTAGGGATTATAATTCAGTCTAGTGCCCTCATTTGGTTTCTACTTCTACCCTAATATGAAGTGGCCAGCTTAGCAAGACTGTGATCAGAGTTGTGGACAAGGAATACAGGTAGTCCCCAACTTACGACTGAAATGGAGCCTGCCCATCAATATTATAAGTCAGTGGTGGCGAACCTATGGCCCGGGTGCCAGAGGCGGCACTCAGAGCCCTCTCTGTGGGCACGCGCGCCGTCGCCCCAGTCCTAGGCCTTCAGCTGGGTTTTATAAAACCTTTTCNCTTTAGGCCTCTGCCGCCGTGTGCAAAAAAAAAAAAAGGTTCAATCAATCAGTCAATTTCAACTTCTTGCGGGGAAAAAAAAGATCTTGCAAAGTTGGAATTGATTGATTGAACTTTTTAGTCCCACCCAGTCTGCCATCACCACCGCAGCCACACCCACCCAACGGGCCACACCCACCCAACGGGCCACACCCAGCCAATGGGCCACACCCAGCCGGCACCCTACGATGCATAAGTGGGTTTTGGGTTGCATTTTGGGCACTCAGACTCTAAAAAGTTCACCATCACTGTTATAAGTTGTAACAATTGTAAAACAGGTCACCCAAATAACCGACCTGATTTTTCAACATTTTCTGCAGCAATCATTAACTGAAAACCACAGCTGTAAAGCAAGCAAGTAGTTAAGCAAATTCCACAGTTGTTAAATGAACCAATGGTTCCATATGGGCCGTTTAGAATGCCAGTTTTCGGCAAAACCTGTCGTAAAACATCTCATCACTGCAAATGGCCATAAATGCTGAAGCCCAACATATGGCCACGTGACCAGGAGAAGAGGGTTCAGCCATCATAACTTCAGAACTGGTTTGTAAGCATCCCGGGAGAGGTCTATTGAAACATCAATCATAGACTATTGTTTTTTCTCTCCGTCATCCCCATTCCTCCGACTTGCTTTCTTTTTGTCTCTCCAGAGATTGCTCCAGGATCAGGGGTGGGGAACCATGGCCCTTTTATGACTTGTGGACTTCAACTCCCAGAATTCCTGAGCCAGCTCAGGAATTCTGGGAGTTGAAGTCCACAAGTCATAAAAGGGCCATGGTTCCCTATTGCTGCTCCAGGATGGACTCATTGTTCTTGAAGAGCCAAAAGTGGCCTGGCTAAAGTGCACTCACTTCTTAGTTGTGTGTGTGTGTGCATGTGTTTGTGTTTGTGTACTGTATGCGTATACCTTCTTTTCCAGCTCAGGTCCAGAACGGCCATTTCAGCTGGTTAAATGCTTGGGGAAATGGTGGTGTTTTGGTCATACGAGCTGCTTCTTTTAACCCAGGATACGTTTTTTCCCAGTCCTTATGCCACTCCACTAGGGATAACTATTTAGTACACGGCCTGTGAGCTTCAAATGCTTGAAACTAGCAGGGCAGATGGGGAGAGAGAATTCCTGCTGTGGGGTGGGTGGCCTACTTTAGTTCTTTTTATGAAAGGAAAGCACAGCCCTGGCCCTGCAACAGAGGCAGCTGGCAGGATATTTGCCTCAGCTCATTTGCTAGAGGCAGGAAGACTAAGCTGTGCTGTTGTGTCAACCTGGACTTGATGCTATTTCGTCATTTTTGTCCAAAGAGCTCCAGTTAATGTAGAGGAAGGACCTCAGTTCCTGGATTACATTAGAGCAGGTAAGCAATTGCTGTTTGGGGGGTACACAACTGATGGCCAGACAGGAGATCTGGGGATTAAGTCTCTTATTTGCCTTCTCATTTATTCTGCGTCTCTTATCCCTGTTTCTCAATTCCTCCCTGGCATAATTCCCTGGCCTTCCAAATCCATCTACTTGTATAATTAATAATTCGCAGTTGTAAGATTTAATGTGACAGTAAGTTGGAGATGGGAGATGGAATTAAAGCTGCCACAGTTAATTCATATTTAGTGAAATGAGAATCAAAACCAGTACAGGTAGCCCTTGATTTACAATAATTCGCTTAATGATTGTTCAAAGATACAACAGCACTGAAAAAAAGTGACTTATGACTGTTTTTCATACTTAGGATCACGGCGGCGTCCCCATGTTCACGTGATCAAAATTCAGACGCTCGGCAACTGACTCCTATTTAGGACAGCTGCAGTGTCTGGGCAGCTCATGTGATCCCCTTTTGTGATCTTCTGACAAGCAAAGTCAATGGGGAAGCCAGATCCTTATAACAACCGTGTTACTAATTTAACTACTGCAGTGATTCACTTAACAACTGTGGCAAGGCAGGCTGTAAAATGGGGCAAAATTCACTTAACAAATATCTCACTTAGCAAGAGAAATGTTAGTCTCAATTATGGTCATTAAGTCGAGGACTAACTGTATGCATTTTCTATTTTTTTTCCTTTTGGCAGCCTCATACCATTGGCTCATGGGATTACCTTGTGATCCACAAGTATACCCAGATCCTTTTCACAAATCCTACTGCTCAGTATGGTGTTCCTCGTGCTATTATCCCGATCTGCTGCCTAGTATGCCAATTTTTAACGTATCCACCATAATGTCTTTTATATTTTTTCTTTATATTCTTACCCAAATGTGTTCAACATTTGCTCTATGCTCAAATTCCTGAATCATAACCAGTGGAGGAATAGCTATATAACAATGGAGAATGCAGAAAAAAAGAAGAAGCAGGTGATAGTTGGAGAATGAGATCACTACTAAAGAAAATGGATAAAAGTGTATATTGCAGTGATTGTAAGCTAATGGTGCTTAACAGAGAGTCCCAAGCTAGTTGGTAAGGAACAATTCGGTCTTTGCCATAGCCGAGTAAAATCTGTGCCATCTGTGCTGAACGTTCATAGGATAGTCACATATATTAACAGTTATCAAAATCAGGAAGCATTATGAGGTCTAATTAACGAAGCAGGGGGTCTTCTTCAACTAAGAATAATTCAGCATTCATGCATTCCTTCCCGCAAGATATATTTAACCATCTATCCAAACTTGCAGGAGCTCTCGTATCTCAGATCTCTTTTGTCAAATATGTCCAACTCTGAGATAGAGTAGTGTTTCTTAACTTTAGCAACTTGGAAGATGTGTGGACTTCAATTCCCAGAATTCCCCAGCCGGAATTCTGGGAACTGAAGTCCATACATCTTCAAGCTGCTATGGTTGAGAAACACTGAGATGGAGCATCACAAATCCACAAATTAAATATTTAGTTTATAAAAACATGGCCATACAGATAGTCCTCGATTTAAAAACAATTGTTTAATGACCGCTCCAAGTTACAACAGCACTGAAAAAAAAGTGACATGACCATTTTTTTACACCTACAACCAGTGCAGCATCCCCATGATCACGTGATCAAAATTTGGGTGCTTGGCAACTGGCATGTATTTATGATACTTGCAGTGTGTCAGGGTCATATGTCATCTCCATGTGTAACCTTCCCAGCTGGGTGCCGATGAGCGAAGTCAACGGGGGAAGCCCAATTCCCTTAATAACTGCCTGATTTACTTAACGCAGTGATTCGCTTAACGACCGAAGGAAAAAAAAAAGCCTGGGCACATCACTTAATATCTGTCTTGTTTGGTAAGAGTTGTTTTGGGCTGCATTGTAGTCATAGGTCGA